TTTTACGTGGCCTATCAACACAATTTAAAAACCGGTATATAGTTTGAAGTCCGCACTTTCGACCCAAGTTGAAATGGGTCGCTGCATCTTGTTGCTGTGTCGTCTTAAATCGGTCATGTGATTGACCCCAGGGAGTTAAAAATCTGATTCCAGCTGATATTTTCTCTGTTAGAATCGAAAACAAATGCATTGTTTTATAAATAAAATTTAACTTATTTGAAATTTAGATTAAAACATAAGTACCTACTGTATTTTGTAGCGTTCTGTAATTCCATCGATGGTCGTACATTTCTAGACCCGGTTTACTTTTATTTTTAATTAAAGCAAAGAAACAAACCCATTGCCCTGCCTGTCTGTGTTTAGTTGAATATAAATGATATATTTCTTTTGTCATTTTTCTGTAAACAAACCTTTATTTAAACCTGCTCTTCAGTGTTTGATAAAAATGAACTGTGAAACTATCAGGTTACAGTGATGTACACATCCATTTAAGTTGCACTAGATGTATGTGTGAATATGTTATTGCACACATCAAATGTGTATAAGTACTACATTGATCTCAATTCAAAGTCTTATTCGCGCAGACCTTCGTCTTATGCATCGTTGCACCAGATAATGATATGGAAATGATTTTTTGGTGTCGAGTAGAAGCTCAGGCTTGTTCAGTGAACTTGGGGAATATTAATACGGTGTTCTCTTTGCATGTGAGGTCGGTAAATGTGGAGGCAAGTCGAGGTTTCGCTCACGGAGAGGCCAAGTTTGAGTTACTGTTCATACAGCAGCTTTTCACAGGCTCAGCAGAGATCCAGAGTCTCAGTGCTGAGTGAGACAGAGTGAAAGCCAAGATGAGTCAGTGGTCTGAATATTGATCAAGGCAGTGGTTTGTTTTAGATAATAGCTTTATTGATTCGCGATCAATTCCATTACAGTAAAGTCCTCGGTACAATGATAGGGCCGTGAGGACCATGCTAAAACAACAGCTCCCACTCTAAACTTTGTCTGCTTTTATTAAAGGTAAAAAGAGAGGTCTGTTTGATATCCATGTATTCAACCACAGATTATCATGCAAGTAAAGTTTGACCCAGGACGCTGCTAATGATTTTATTTCTGCTGAAAAGTCAAACTGTGACCTTAGCTAAGTTAGTTTTTAGGGTGTCTGTCGTGTTGGGCAAAGAGAGTGGGTCTTTTAAAGGAATATTGCAATGGCCTGAAATGAAACTGACTGGAGTTGCTCGGAATTCCTGAATTAACAAAAACATTTTTTGACAGATTACATTTTAACCAAGACTTTCAAGTCAAATAAATCTGAACATGTTATTTCCAGTCTAAGGAGCTTGGAGAAAAAAACATGTGCATTTCTTTTAGTTTCCTTGAAGATGTTCATTCTGATCTGAGAAGCTTCTTCGGTTCTAAGCGCAATTAATGGAGAGTCCCAGATTTTGAGCCCTATGGTAGTGTCCCCCCAAGAGGGTCATGGACCCACTATGGATCCTTTACCTAATCATATGAGCCAAGGTGTGAAAATGGGTGTGGGTCACAAGCAACCAGTTTCTGGTGAACCCATTGTAAGACCAAGCCCCACACTATCATGTGATTTCCTGAGGTCAAATATCCCAGGATGTGAGTGGGTATCTCAAAACTGGATAATAGACAGCAGACAGTTGGTGTTGTAAACCACCGCCTCAGCTCAAAGATGTTCGTTCACAGGGGACATAGATGGCTTCTTACTTCCCAGTGTTTATTTAAAGATGTGCTCAACTCAGCCTTGGTTGTAATATTACCTCCTTACAGCTAAGAACTGTAGAAGAGCATTCAGAAGACCACAGCAGGGGGCCATTTCCAGTATAATCTTCAGGGTTTTTTAGAATTCTTCTGGTTGTATCTGGTTTAAATTGTCAGCAGAGCAAATTATTAACCGAAACCTTTAACACAGGACACTCATAGACAGCAGAGCAGGCTCACATGTTTGAAAGTCAGGAGTCACTTTTTTATTTTCTCTCCTGTAGCACACAACTTCTCTCTGACACTTTCTTACTACTGGATGTGCTTTGTGTGGCCTCTTTCATCATTCACAGTAAGGGAGGAGGCAGCTTTGATAAAGCAGTGAGGAGGTTGCCGCCATGGGGTTATTATTATAAAAGGTGTTTGTTTTGTTTTTTAACCTAAACTACAATCGTTTCTTAAATCATATCAGGTGCATAAAGTCTCACTTGATTTATGAGCTCAGTGATTACTTTCCTGGTGAGTTTATGGTCTCAGTCACAAGTTTTAGACTTTATCATGATACAACATGATGTTCAACATGTACTTTATGATTTTCATTAGTCCAAAACGAGGATAAAGCAAGGTATGCTTTAGGGCAGGCCTAGCTTATGCTTGACAAACCACTATTATAAGAGCGTGTAGTGTCTCTCAATCAGATTAAAGCCACCCGTCATCATCTCGCACATGTAGTTTTAATAACGTAAGATGTCAGCCCAAATGGCAAATTTGTGGCTTCAAAGGAGGGATGTAGCAGCCAGTGACACGATGTTATGGTGGCTGCATCCATCTTTTCTATGCAGTCTATGAATCGCAGGCTGTCAGAATTACTTTTACTGGTCTATCCCTGCTTTGAAATCACTGGAAAATGTTTCCTGCTCATTAGGAGTGCATTTTCTTCTGGGGGAGTAAATCCCATCATAGTCCAGGAACAATAAACACAAACACAAAACACCTTTCTGTAGGAGTTGAAGTCATAATTAATTACGGTGTTTGGCTCAATCTTTACACCTTTTTCAGGTGGCTTAAAATATATTATTTTATCTTTGTGCATATAAATGAACATAATTTTATTGATTTGCAAACATTTGAAACCAGTATGCAAAGTTGTTTTTTTTGCTTTGTTTTTTTTTAATGTGGCTATTTGATGGTCAAAGTGCAAAAGTCACGAGGGTTTTTATACCGGTAACTCTTCTTCTCTGTGTCGCTAAACAGAATAAACGCGCTCAGCAAACCTTGAGTCAAAGTGATAAACATGTCACGCTGATCAAAGCTTCTCATCTGTACATCAGCGCTGACGTGGTGGATCCAGAGTCTGGGGGGAAAGAAATCAGCCTCACACTGGAGCTAAACTAGCGAGCAGATCACAGCGATGACGGCTGACAGTGACGCATTATGCAAACAGCGATCGCAGCCCTGCGGGCAACGCAGCCTACATCAACATTCAAGAGCGTGTGTGTGTGTGTGTGTGTGTGTGTGTGTGTCTGTGTGCATTCCTGCGTGTGTGTTCTGCTCCCTTGCTCTGCAATTCACACACACTTATCAGCATTTCTGAGTTATTTCACACGATCACTTCCTGTTTCTGCTCAGGTGTCCCCCCCACTCCTCCTGTTCTCGCTCATCTGTACTTCACACACACTTATCACCTTTAATGTGTCAGCGTGATTTACACTGTGCACTGTGTGTGCGTCTCTCACCGTGTTTGTCTCTGCCTCTCCCTCTCTTTTCTTTGCCTTCACACAAATGTTGTAAATAATCCCTAATTTCCTTTCACAGTCTGCACACCCTCATCTATTTTCTTTCACACACAACTCTGGCGCTCTCTCGGATTTACACACTTTCTTTGCGTCTCTCTCTTTTCCACAGCAGCAGCGGCAGCAGCATGGGAAGCTGCGGGGTTTCTGATTCACCTGATTCAAATGAGGAACTCTGAGTACTTTCAGATTGTTTTCCACTTGGTTCAGTAATTGATTAAAAAATGTTGGATTTTAACAACATGATTCTGCAAACTGATGTTGTGGAAAAAACAGGTTATGGAGGATCTAATGACTGTTTTGTGTGAGTGAAAAAATGCTTTTGTGTGCAGGTAAAAAGATATATAAAATATATAATAATGGATCGCATTTATATAGCGCTTTTTGGGGCCCTCAAAGCGCTTTACAATTCCA